ATTCGATAAAACCTTTGTTAAATCTTTTTAACTTTGGCATTTCTCCAAGTTCATTTAAGCGATGACTTTCTCCCATATGTCTTTCTCCCATATGTCGATCACTTTCGACTTTCTTTAATCTCTCACAAGTTGAAAGTTGTGGAAGGCTTGTGCAGGGAGCAATATTTTTCATAAGTCATTTGGTAATATGTATTAACCAATTCAAGGATAAAAAAAAAATCATTTCCCAACATGATAACATTAAACGGACACTATTAGAAGAATTGGTAGTATTCATGTATTTTTTTTTCCTTTAATTTCCCTTTGCTAAAATTGTGGACAATAGAGGTGGTGGTTGAAATTGTGAAATTGGTGCAGTGAACACCTCACAATTTGAATTGAGATGAAGGTTTGAATTACCATGTGCACTCCTAAACACTAACTCTGGTGCGATATTATGTGGCCCGCGTTTTCACCTCTCCCCTCTTGTGGGCTCCCACTGCTGTCCCCGAATTTATATTGGCTGTTCTCTCTTTGACACACATCTCTTTCACATGTTATTTTAGCTTAAAATTTGAGTTTTCAATAACAGAAAAAATAAATTATCAATCATTTTTTATTTTTAATAATTAGATGCTTATTAAAAAAATGTCTATTTTTCATATTTTTTAAAATTAATTTAATTTTGATCGTATTTAACAGTAAAAAATTGTGTCCACTGTAGAAAAGATTTTTTTCGTTTTTTTTTTTTTCATTTTATGTATACACTTTAAAAAAAATTATTTTACGGTGTGTTGTTGTTGTTGTGTTTATGTATATGTGTATATATACAATGATGGTGATGTCAAGCATGATGATATCTCCTAAAAATACGAATCTATCTATCAATCTATTCCTATGGTTTTTGAGTTGGCTTCAGCATTTTAGTCAGACGTTAGACGCACGCTCTCTCCCTTGGTCTGCCCTGCACGCACCTTTAGTCAAATTAATATATATTTATTCTTTTTTTTCCTTTATTCTTTTTTTTCCCCTATCCAAGTCAATTTTTCCTTTATGTCGCTGTCGTTTTATTGTCAATGAAGTTATCCTCACTCGTATTAATGAGAGACAATACTTCAGAAATTAGCATAAATTTGAAGTTATAACGAAGGGGTCAATTTTGTAATTGAAATATAATCACGAAATTAACATAAAATTTGGTCAACCACATGTTAAGAACTACAGCTCTAGTAGGCATTAAGATATTTGACACGAAACACGATTTATATTATTTAACGACAAAAAGAACAAATAAATTTCATTAGCTAACCTATATTTTTGTTAAAACTATAAAAATATTACTACATTATCATGTGACTGCCAAAAAAACATTAAAGTGTAAATGTAACTTTCACAAAAGAGACCTTATTTGATAATCAGATCGTATGAGTTATGATGATTATCATTGTTAGTGATAAGAATGAGAAAGGACTCATCTAATGTGTTTGCTAATTATAATTTTGTGTATTTTATTTTCCTAAAACTACAGGAAATTTCTATTCTTGGTGAACTGTTTTTGTTCCCCATTGGTAAAGAATAGTGCAATGTCCCACATTGGCATATTGAATGTTAATAATATCCTAATAATAGGGAAGATAATTTACTTGTAAATTAGAGATTTTATACTTTTTCTTAGAGAAATATTTTCCCTATTGTAACATAAACAAACAAGAAAAACAGTAAAAAAGAAATTAAAAAAATATAAGAAAAAGTGACTTGAATTGCATTACCGTAGAGATAAAAAAATCAACAGAAAGAAAAAAATTCAACCTTTTTTCGACAAGAAAACATTAATAACGTCTTTTATCAGGAACAATTGAAACACATCTAGGATGTTATGAGAAAGCACTTGTGAAAGAAAAGAACTATAACCTCTTCACGATTTGTAGCAAGACTCATTGTAATCCAATTCTTAAAAGGAACGAGAGAGTAGTGTTGAAGTGTCACTTGTGCTCTTCAACTTTTGGAATTTTAAGTGAGAAAAAAAAAAAGCGTTCTAGTGTAATATCTGAAAGGAATAAATCTTTGAATAGTTCCAAAACTCTTTTCTCTCTCAAGAATTAGAGGATGTTTGGTTGGAGGATTCAAACCATGATTTGAATCATGATTCATAGTTCGCTATAGTGTTTTCTCTCACAAAAAATACACGTAAATTGAAAATAGTTTTAATCACATGATTCTAATCACATGATTCTAATCCATGAACTTTGTCTCATAAACAATCTTTGAATTTTAAAAAGGTCTCATAAATGGTATTTCTGTTAAATTTTATATAAAAACAATTAATTTATCTCATAAAATGTCTCTAAACTATCTTCTCTCTCTATAAATGGTCCTTTTATTAAAAATTATACTAAATTTAGTCCCTAAACTAACAAAAAAGCTAAAAATAATTCATTTGTTAAATAAATAGATGAAAAATATTAAATATAAGAAGTTGTACTATATGTAGCTCCTAAACTAAAAAAAAAAAAAAAAGAAATGCTAAAATTAGTGTTTTTGCTACATACATTTTTGTAACTATTTATTCACATATATAACTTTAATAAATTTTTTTTAGTGATGATAATTGTACCACTATATTAATCAATGTTCTAAAATTATTACTCTCCGATAATAATCTCTAAAAATATATTTTATAAACATCTGTTGTATTATGCCATTATAACCACACACGAAGATACATATAAGCTAATGGAAGTACATACCCTCACTAAACAATTTAAAATATGCATACATATTTAAATTAATGTCAATATTATTTCATCTTAAAAAACAAACAATATTATACACGCAATGTACACACACAAATTCTAACTAAATTTCTCAACTTTCTTTTTATAAGAAATACTGTGAAGAGTTATTTGCAATTTTTTATTTCCCAAACGATTATTATATCATCAATAAAAATAAAAGCAAGCAAAACAAAAAACCAAAAAACAAAAAATTGTCTAAAGAAATAATAAAAGCAATTAACCACAATCCACCACTGCACACCAAAGTGTATGGTACGGTTATTATATATTATTTTATGTATTGTAATAAAAAAACAAAAATATTTTTATTTATGTGGGGTTATATAGAAGTTTAATGAGTGTAAATATAATCACTTTAAATTTTTTAATTTAGGGACTACATTTTTATAATTCTCATATTTAATGTTTTCTATTTATTTATTTGGGGTCCGTTTAGTTCGCTAATTTGAGTTTTTAATTTGAGTTGAGATGTAATTTTATATGAGAGTTTTTTACTGTAGTAAAAAAGTTAGATGTAATTATTTTTGAGAGCTTTTTACTATAGCAAAACTTAAATTCTAAACTCGAATCAGTGAAATAAACGGCGCTTTAATATATGAATTAATTTTAGCTTATTATTATTATTATTATTATTATTTTAGTTTAGAAATTAAATTTAGTACAACTTCTAATAAAAATACCATTTATAAAGAAAGAAAATAGTACAACGATCTTTTAGGAGATAAAGTTAACGTTTTCCGTTCAAAATTTAACAGATAGACTATTTATAAGACTTATTTAGAGTTTAGAGACTATTTATGAGACAAAATCTAAGATCATGTTCATTTCACTTATTCAAGTTTTGTTACAGTAAAAAACTCTTAAAAATAGTTATATTTAATTTTTTACTACAGTAAAATTTTTTTACATAAAATTACATCTCAATTCGAATTAAAAACTCGAATCAGTAAATTAAACTTGCCTTAAACAAAAGAGTTTTAAGGACCATTTATAGATTTAAAAAATTATACAATTAGTACTATTTACTAAAATAAAATATTATAAAAAAACTAAAAAATAATATTAAAAAAAAGGAATGAGAGAGAGTATGTGTGCAGAGCACGCGAAATATGAGAGTGGGAAGGGAAGAAAGGGTCATAAATACGAGGTACAGAGTAAAGGGGAAGGGCATTGGCCGGTAGAAGAACGAAAGAGGCAAAGGTGGCCCTCTTCCCGTACTCTTGGATTGGACTTTTCTGGAAAGAGTTTCCTTTTCCTCCTATTATTCCCAATTTCCTTTTCTGATAACAAAGACCCCCTTTCCCCTTTCTCTATTCTTCCTCTTCTCTCTGTTCTTGGCCCTTTAATTCCTATAATTACACAACACCCCCTTGTCTTTTCCCAATTTGCCCTTCCCCATGTTTTTACTTTTTCTTGCTCTCTAGTAAAAAAATAAATAAATAAAAATTCAGGTGAAACAAAAATTAAGCTGAACATGGAATACCAAAAAGAAAAAATATATTTGTTGTACATGCATTATCTTTTTCTGTGACTTAGTAATTAGCCATCTAGTTTAGTCCTTGCGCTGTCTATTTCCATTAGTGGGTAATGTATAGAGAGAGATAGAGAGAAGGAGAGAGAAAGCTTTTCGATTTGGTTAACGTGGGAAAGTTGTGCAAGAAAGAGATGGTTCTTTCTTTCCTATTTTCCTATCTCATGAGAGAATTTAAAAAAAAAAAACATAATAGATGCATAGTTGTTAACAGTACGCTTTCAAACGCAGTTTAAAAGGAAACGGAGGTGGGGCTATAAATACTAGAGATCAGCTGCCAATTGGACACGTAAAAAAAAAAAATTTTGAAGCAAAAACAAGAAACCAAATGATTGGTGGGAAAAAAAAACACACACACTAACATATCATAGAAATAATAATTTACACGATTAAAAAAAAGAATACATTACAGACACTGTAGAGAGATGAGAGAGTGAATTATGAGTCATTGGAAAGAAAAGGGTGTCAAGTGGCTAGAGAGAGAGAGGGAGAGAGAGAGTGAGTATTAAGGTTGGGATTTGATGCTTTCGGGTAAGCTTTGCTGAAACTGGCCTCGTCTATGCTGTATTGGGCAGTTAAGGGGAATACCAACAAGATCTTGGACCTCTCTCTCTCTCTCTTACTTCTCTCACTACCCTTTTCAGCAAACAAAACCAACCCATTTATTCATTCATTCATTTACTCATTTCTCTCTTGCTTAGCTTCTCTCCCTCGTGGGTTTTCGCTCTCTCTCTCTCACATACCCAGAGAGAGATAGATTTTTTTTTGTTTTCAAACCGACCCACTTCCAAGAGTTCTGGTTTGCTATATAGTGATAATCCGAAATTTCCCTTTTGACAAAAAACAAGAAAAAAAAATGTGGGATCTCAATGACTGTCCTGATGACGAGATGATCATACGAGACGACGAATCCGAGGGCTGCTCGTCGCAGAAGACCTCCTTCGACGGCGACGACGAGAAGGGAAAGCGGGTCGGATCCGTCTCCAATTCTAGCTCCTCCGCCGTCGTGATCGAGGACGGATCGGACGGCGAGGACTACGCCGGAGGAAGAGCCATCAAGAAGCGCGGAGGAAGTTTCGGCAGCAAGCTATTCGGGTTCTCCATGACCCACGACGACTCCATGGACGGTGACCCGCCGGTGACCCGGAACTTCTTCCCCGTCGACGACCCAGAACAGGAAATGGGCGGCGCCACGTCGGCGGCCGGCGTGGGGCCCGCCGCTGTGGCGTCGTCTTTTCCGAGGGCCCACTGGGTCGGTGTGAAGTTCTGCCAGTCGGATTCTCTCGGCGCTGGAAAGCCGTCGCCGGAGGTTTCTCAGGCACCGTTGAAGAAGAGCCGGCGAGGACCCAGGTCGAGGAGTTCTCAGTACAGAGGTGTCACCTTTTACCGGCGAACTGGTCGCTGGGAATCCCATATATGGTTTGTAGCTCTCGTCTATATCTGTATCTATATATATATATATATATATATATAATATGAAATATAGTTAGTTATATAAGTTTCTGTTTTTGGACATTTGTCATGTTTGTATTTATATCTAATCAATTGTGATTTCATGTTTGGGCTTTGATACAGGGATTGCGGGAAACAAGTTTATCTCGGTATGACTTTTGTTGTATGCTTATTTTTTTTTTCCATTTATGGGTTGGGAAATTGGTGGCTACGCCTGAAAAATATAACACCTGCGTTGTATGATAATTTTCTGTTCTTTTATTTTCTTTTCCTTTATTTTCTTTTCTTCTTTTCCTTTTTTTTTTTGGTGGTGGTGCTGATGAGATTGGTTTTGATTTGGATTTGTGTCTGAGATAATAGGTGGATTTGACACCGCACATGCAGCTGCTCGGTGAGCTCTGCCACTTTTCCCTCTTCTTCATAACAAGGTTTTTTTGGGTACAAAAACTTGTTTGGATTAAAGGAAAGTTTTTTATTTTATATGGCAGTGCATATGATAGGGCGGCTATTAAGTTTCGTGGAGTGGAGGCTGACATAAATTTCAGCCTAGAAGATTACGAAGAAGACTTGAAACAGGTGAGTGCGTTTTGTAGGTTTTGTGCATATTGAGAAAGAGGGAGAGAGAGAGAGAGAGGCAAAAAAAAAGAGAGTCATGATTTTCTATAATCTTATCTCGAACAGTTGATACCTTATCTTCAATAGTTGTGAATGTCGTATTTTTGGGTGCTTATTTTTCGTTTTTTTATTATTATTGAAATTGTAATTCTTCTTTAGTTTGGCATTTAAGATTTAAATGGGAAAGTGGAAAATCCTTGCTAATATTCTTATCTCTCACAATGTTGTTGTTTTTTGTGACGTGTAACAGATGAGCAATTTAACCAAGGAAGAGTTTGTTCATGTACTCCGACGACAAAGCACAGGATTCCCTAGGGGGAGCTCCAAATATAGAGGCGTCACTTTGCACAAATGTGGAAGATGGGAGGCAAGAATGGGCCAATTTTTGGGCAAAAAGTAAACATTGTTAAAAAAAACTATATCTTGTAAACTCTTGTTTGGTTCTCTTCCTTTTTCTTTTCAACTTACATCCTAATCCGTCCCTAGAAATTTGCTTTACATCGAAGTACGTGTCTTTCATATCTAAATCTTGTTCAACAGGTACGTGTATTTGGGCTTGTTTGATACCGAGGTTGAAGCTGCAAGGTTTGTACTTTATTGTGATTTTTTAATATATATAAATATACGAATTTCTGGCTTAATCACAATTAAGACTGGCCAACCTATATGTTAAAAGTTTTTCTGCCACTTTTTTTGTAGGGCTTATGACAAAGCTGCAATCAAGTGTAATGGTAAAGACGCTGTCACCAATTTTGATCCCAGCAGTTACGAGAATGAGCTTAACTCAACAGGTAAAGTAGTTAATGCATGGGGAAATATATATATATATATGTAGTACAAAAATTTATTACATCTTGTGTGTAACTTTACAGCTTTAGCATTTAGTTTTTGTTACAAAATTAATTCTATGGTTTGATCAGTGGAATCATCCGGTAACATTGCTGCGGATCACAACCTGGATTTGAGTCTTGGAAATTCTACCTCTAAGCAAAGCATGAGCGGTGCAACTGCAGTTGGGAATCAGATTAGCCAAAATGCTGCATTGTTGGAACAGCATTCGGTTCCAATGCCTTTCGAAACCGATCATTGGCGGAATCCGGGATTTAGGCCTAATAAGGTTCATTAATACTACTCTTAATTATATATCATAGTACTATATATGGTTTAATCAGTACCCTTTTTACCAATTCATATTATGAATCCACACTAATCAAAGTTCTCCATTTTCTTTTCCATTTATTAGATAAACAATGATGCTTACAGAAGAGATGGGTATTTGGAGAATGAAACAATGCAACTTCTGAGCAGAACCCACCTTCAATCTCCAAATGCTGGCCATCATGAAATGCATAGATTTGGGCAGCAATTCAGAAGGCCTGGAGAGTCCCAGATTCCCAACAATTTCCCACATCTTCACCCACCAAATCATCATGTTGGTACTTCTTAATATTTTTTTTCTTATGATCATAAATTTCCCTTAATTGGGATTGTTTTTTTCTTAAGCTCAATATTAATATGACAACTAATTTTACTAAATCTAATTTCAGGTACATTTTCCTAGCAGCAGCAATGGAGGACGAATTGGCAGTAGTACACATGACCAATTGAGTAATAGTAGCAGTGCTTGTGAGCGACAAAGAATGGCGATTCAGTTCTTCCCTAACTCTGTATGCAACTGCTGCAGCATCATCAGGATTCCCACCGCTGATCAATAGAGAGACTTCTCACAAGAATTTTGAGTTACTGCAGAGAAAAAGGAAAAAAAAGAAAAAAAGAAAAAAAAGATATATACATTCAAAGAAGAACCAGAAAAAAAAAATTATGAGGTTTAATTTCCAGATTCTCTCTTCACGAGACCTTCCTGCCCTTTTGAAAAATTTTCTGCCTCGTCATCGTGATATCATATCACATGATGATCAGCATCATGATCATGGTCATGATCATCATGATCATCCAATCCTTCCAAAATCCTGATCTTCATCATCACTTGTCAATTTTCTCCAAGGCATGTAAAGATATCATCAAAAACTTTTTGGGACTCGGCTCTTTTGTTTTTCCCTCCTAACTCTGCTAAAAACCCCCACCAAAAAAAAAAGGAGAAAGACTTGAGAAAAAAAATGGTAAGAAAGGGAAATTTACCTTCTCTGGAAAATGTTGGTCGTCGGTCAAACTAACAAATGTATGAAATCTTGAGCTAGATATTATTCTGAGCTCTGACTAGAAAGAAATTCACTGATTCTATAATATAACTTTGAAATTTTGAATCGCAGCAGTGGTTTTGCTAATTATTCACTATATATTTATGTTTATATTTATTATATTTGCACACTTATTATGGCAGATTGATTGATATTAATTACTATGAGTGAGATAAATTAATTTTATGACTTTCTAGATTTGAGAGAGAGAGATCTAGCTTAATGCTATCGTTATTATTATTATTGTTTTTTTGCTATTAAAAGAGGAGAAAGTGAAATGGGAAAATCAGGCAAATTGCAAAGATTAGAAAACTGGTATTTTGTTATGAGTCTCTTGGAAATATCATATTGGATGGTGGTGAATAGTCACTATCATAGGTGTCCTTTGAATCAGTTCTCTCCGCCAAAAGCAGTCAGACACTGCTATTATTACGAGGGGGACGTATCATTGTTGTAGCCCAAAGCTTCAAAAGGACTCAGAGAGAGAAAGCCAAGAAATTTAAAAAATAAAAATAAAGAGAGATTTCAATGGTAAAATTTCAAAAAAAAATATATTTAATGGATAGTGTTATGTTTTTTCACTATTAAATTAATTCCATTAAAAATTATTCGTTTTACTCATTTTTTATGGTATATGATTTTACTAGATGTAACGATAATATTATTGATACGGAGATCGTGCCGTATAAAAACTAAAAGACATTAATACAAAGAGAGAAAACAAACAAACCAAAAAGTGTTAAAAGGGTCAGCTAGGTGTTTAGTTGGGTTTAATCCTGTCAGTTTTACGAGAAAAAGAAAGAGAAAAGAGAGAGGGCAGTTTTTATTTGTATATATATATATATATTATGATTACATATACAAAGTGTAAAGTGGGTACGGGTCAAATACATATCTGGGTCAGGGTTCAATTATTCACAACTCTGCAAAAGAATACAAGGAATACTTTTTACATGATAAAAAATGGTGTGATTCTTGATTCCTCTTCATGTGTATAATATCAGTTATCCAACGCATTCAGATATTATAGTTTTGTTAAGGTTATATATAAAATAATATACAACGCTTGCTTTCATCATCACGAGCGTCACACCCCAGATATTTTCACTAGTTTACACATATAATATTAGAATCGTCATAATATTATACAGCCTATTGATACTAAGTGTAGCATGCCTGAAAATGAGTTTTTTTTTTTTTTTAATATTGATACTAAGTGTAGCATGCCTGAAAATGAGTTTTTTTTTTTTTTTAATATTGATACTAAGTGTAGCATGCCTGAAAATGAGTTTTTTTTTTTTTTTAATATTGATACTAAGTGTAGCATGCCTGAAAATGAGTTTTAAAAAAAAAAAAAAAAAAAAAAAAAAACTCATTATCAAATAATATTGCCTCGAACAACATAGCACAATGAAAGCAAACACTATTATATTAAGGGAAAAAAAAATGAAAACAAACACTAGAAGTACAAAGTGTAAAATCACGATCTTCTTTTGTCAATCCGAAGACTCTTTTCTTTTTTTATTAACCTTGAGAAGGATTAATGCAATTGCGTTTGGGATTGAGAGTTGGAAACTGCTTTTTCAGTCGAAGAAAAGCTTGCCGTCGAGCAGTAGACTGTAAATGCTCCCTTTCATGTGAATAATCAGAATTTAGAACAAGAGATTTGTTTTATTAAGCTAAAACAAAACTAGAAAGAAAAATTAATGCTACATCTAGTTTTGTTCATTATTACGTAGAGGGACTAATTTCTATTAAAGCGCGGAAGATTTTGATATTATGAGACACAATTTTAAACTGTCAAATCTTTATACATTTTCGTTGAACCGTCATACTTTTCATTAAATTGTTAAAAACTGTATCCTATTGATTACGTAGTTCCATATTCGGCCACAAAATTCTTCTTATTATAGTTAGTTTGGAATTTAATTAACACCAACGTTGAGGTGTTGTTCAGAATGGGTATCACAGATATAGGGACTCATACTTTTTATTAAACTGAGACATAATTCTAAAAATTGTCTTAATTAACTCAAGCATTTGTAACTTTTTTTTTTCACTTCATAAATATGGTTCTAACACATGTAACATTGAGTGAGCATAGGGGGAAAAAAAAAAAAAAGTTACACTGTACGGCTGCAAGTCATAAGACTTTGCCTATAATTTTAACATAATATAAATCATTTGACTACTCTTAAAAATTGTATCATATTGGTTAAGTGTTTTTTTTTTTTTTAATCTTCATATTCTACTACAAAATTCTCCTTATTGTAATTTATACCTGTATTGAGGTTTTCTTTGGGATAGGTATAATATAGGGATTCTATTGTCATTGTCCATAAGGTAAACCTCATGACTTTATACCACGCACCTTGATACTATAATGTATGAAGAAATATTACTAAAAATATATAAAAACTACAATTTCTAAAAAGGGGAACAAAGCAAGTCTGTCTTGTAGCAGGTTAAAGCCGCTCTCTCTAGATCCTTTTCTTTGAGACAAAACCCACTGCCAAAACCTCAGACGGACAGATCTCAATCTAACTCCATCGTACACAACTTTATCAGTAAAAAAAAAAAAAATTGATGGGGAGTAAAAAAAGAAAAAAGTGAAAATATACGTATGAAAATTGAATATTAAATCCCCAAAAGAAAACGTGTTAACACTAAAAGAGACAAAGTACGTATAACCCCCCCTAGTTGTGGAAAAAGAAAACAAAAGATAAAACGAAAGAGATTGGGGGAATCAAAAAGGGAGTAAAAGTAAAGCAAAGCAAAGCAAAGCAATATATATTGGCCTGCATGCTATTGCTGCTGCCTCTTGAGCACAACTTTTTGGACTTTTAGAGACGAAGCTTTCCATAAATGGGGTTTCTTCAACGGTTGGAAAATGGTTTGTGGGTATGTTTTTTCTCTTTAAAGTTTATTGTAAATTGCGATTTTATGGTTAATTATTTATAGGGCTAAAACATTATATAATTAGAAGATGCTTTGAAAGACGTATATCAAAGTTTTGTCACATTGTTGGATGCTGATTGATTAAATTGTTGTATAGTAAAATACTTTTTGATTATAAGATATTAGTGTTACAAATACGTACTATCATGTGGTTGTTCTTATCAAAGTCTCCCATATTGTTATATGCTAACAAATAACAATAAAGAGAAAGAAAGCAAGCTGGTGAGGTGGTTAGGTACCTTCATATATATATATATATATGCATCATTAGTATGTAAATTTCTGTAATAGATTATAAAAAAAATCCACTCATGTAAGACAATTCTTAATCGTTAGATTAAATTAGCTACATACAGTTTTTAATTATTAGATTAAGCAAAATCAAATCAAATCAAATGTGACACTTTAACATATGTCAAAAAAGATCTAACTCTTAAAAATTGTATCATAAAAATAAGGTACCTTTTATACCATGTCACATAATTATTTGTATTATAGACATAACTTATAATGATTCATGAGTTTCTTAATTAGGGTTTCCAAGTAACACATCCCTTATCTTTTTTATAATTTTAGATTATTATCACTGGTGCCCTCTAAATTTTAGGGTCATTCTCAATTTGTCTTCTGAATTTTAAAAACTCTCACTTTGCACCTTGAACTTTATATTGTTCTCACTTAACTACTGCTGCAATTTTTGTTAGAAACAAATAAAATAAAAGAGAGTAATGCAGTCAGACGATCTTTCTGCTTGAAATTTTATAAAAAAAACAAATAAATAAAAACTACATGATGGTTACACTTATCTCTTATTTTTCCATCTGATTTCAACATAAATCCTTATAAAATGTCTTTCAAATGAGACAAATTAAAATTGATCAGGAGGTAAAATGATAATTATTAAAGTTTAAACAGCAAAGTGAAAATAATTTTAAAATTGAGAAGGCACTAATAAAATTAATCCTATAATCTTTTAAAAGAATGAAAAAAAAAAAAAGAAAAAAAGAGAAGGCATTGAAAGATGAGTGATGAGTAGTCTGTGACTGTTCATATTATGTTTTATGCTTTTGTTTTTACATCTGATACTAGCTATTTCTTTCCAATTATTAACGTTTTTTCTTCAATTTTGTTCTCTTTTTCTGTTTATGAGTGTGACTGAGACTGCGACTAGGACTTGACTGTGAAGGTGGCATTGTATTGGTCCTATTATGTACTGTGCCATTTTGTGTTAGATCGCTTTCATCATTCACTCAGACAAACTACTTCTATGGGCTTCCCTTTCTGGGACGCGCTCAACCTTTTACTCTCTCTCTCCCCTCTCTCTCTCTCTCCCCCCCTCTTCCTCTTACAACTTTCCTTTTTCGGTTTTCTCTTTTTGGGTTTTTGTTTACCACGTTACACAGTTCTACACCTATTTTGTACATATAATTCTAGAAGGAATAAAGTAATAAAAAAAGGAAAATTTTCTGATAGCTCGTTCTGTTAATAGTTTTAATTTTTAATTATTAAAAATGATTGAAATTATATTAAACTAAAAAATATACATAATAAATAAATTTTAATACAAATTTAATAGTTAAAAAATAAAAAATTATCAATAATCTATTTTTATATAAA